AGTGGGAGAACTTGCACAATTGGTGGCTGACTAAATACTTTTTTGCCCCACTGTACTTGTCTGATACTATAACAAAGGATATAGAAGAACAACAGATTTTATCGGACAAAACAGAGATGAGGCTGATTTGAATGTGGATTTGGAGTCTAAAAAAATACTGGATTATAAAAGTGATATGGAAAAAGATGCTGTGGACTTGAAAACGGATTTAAAAATGTCAGAGTGTAAGAGTGATATAGAAAAAGATGCCAAAATGGTTTAAAATGAAACCAGCTGTTATAATAATTAAAGGGGACATACAAATAATAAATCAGAAGAGTGACTTGGAAAGCTTTCTTATTTGGAATTTACAAAAGGAATGCGTTAAAACTAATGAGAGGAGACAAAAAGAAACTATTGTTCCTGAAAGTAGAAAAAGAGAAAATGATTAAAAAATCAACTTGTGGGACATTGTTTGACAGAATTAAAGATCCAGCTTTTAAAAAGTAAACAGAAGGTTTACACAGTGAACTTATTTGACTATGGTTAAAATATATGTTGTGGTTTCTGGTAGCTATCAAAGGGATTTCTTTTTGATCAGGACTGAATGGTGAGTTTTAAGGATCTGTTTATAAGTGGGGAGAGGTTTTTTTCGCTTTACTGCTTAGAGAAAGTGATAAATTGGATTACAAAATGGATTTTTTAAAAATTAAGGTTAAAATACATATGTTATTATTTTTGGTAGCTCTTAATAGACTTTTGCTGATTAGGATTGAATGATGACTTTTTATACTTTAATTATTATTGATAAGGGATGAGATATGGAAAGAAGAGATCTTTTTTTCTTTTCTTTTATTGAAGTACTAGAGGAGGTGTTAAGTTACTAAGTTTATACTTGTCAGGGGGGGTCATCTTTTACATATTCTTTTTCTTTTTTCTTTTCCTTTTTCTATCTCTTTGCACTTCTCTTTTTCTTTTCTTTTTATATTTTCTTTAGTTTGTATTAGTCTTTTATCTTTGTACTTGTCAACTCTAGTAAAATTATTATTAAAAAAAATGTTGTTATGCAAAATGTAGGTTCCAGCATTATTTCCAAGAATGACTTCAAGGCCCAAATGGGCCTCATAAACCTTCTCACAACAAATAAAATGATTGGCAGATACAACTCCATAAAGGACAAAAGTGAAGAAGGGGTAATTGGGAGCGCTCTGAGGAAAGAAGGGGAGGTTAAATGTGACCATGAGCTCAAAAACTTTGTGGAACCCTGGTATAACAGCTTAAGACTAGCAAAGATGTTAATCTGGCTCTGTATTATTCAAAAATAAAATGACATGACAAACATTGTAAGACCAGAGAAGCAAAAAGGTGATGCATCTTGAAGGCTGTACTATTTGGATCAAAAAATGTTGTTTGGAATACTGCTATTGTAGAAATGGAATCCATAAATCTTAAGTAGAACAGTGCATATTCTGTGTTTTTCATTAGACATACAAACTGGAATATGGTGCAAAAACAGAGATGCTACCTCTAAATATGACAGGCAGAGCTGGATCATTTCAAGTACATTAAGAGAATGTTTAGAGATTTTTTTTTTTAAATTAGTTCTTACCTGAAATAATTTCTGTAGTTCTGGTACCTTGTTCTTAACCAAACTCCCAGCCTTATTTGGTGTGTCTGGGGCAACTTTAATGGGGGTATCAAATATCACAGCTGGCGATTCCACAGATACCACTGGCTTGAATCCCTAAATAAACAATTGAATTTATGCAATTGAAAACATTGACTAGCAGTCAACAAGAGAATACAAAACAAAAGCACATCATATCTGACCTGGAATAGAAAGTTTCTAGATTGTCTGTGGATTTTTATATATTTTATAAGCTGCTCAGTCTGGTGAAGGGTGGGTTAGAAATATTGGAAATACTCCAGAATTATCAACAAAATATGTATTTAGAGTACAACTATTTAGGCAGCCCAAAGATTTTGGGTGCAACCCCTATTAACCTACCTAAATGGCCATTAAATTGTTAACATGGAGGAAGAAGGGATCTTTTTTTAACTGCAAGTACTACCATTTACAGTGACTTGGAACTCTGATTACCAGGGAAGTATCCACAGGGGGAGGGGGGGCAGTAAAGAAAGTCAAGATAACAGCCACAACAATGTGACTGAAGTCCTGCCCTTCTGCATGCATTGTGATGGACATAAAAAAAGGACAGAGCTTTGATTGTATGGCTGTGGCCATCTTTACTTTTCTGACCACCCTGCAGATATCCCTGGCTATTATAGTGTTCAGCGCGCCCATCAATCCTCATGAAGCAAAAAAAATCAACCATTTATTATTTCAGTAATACTTTCAGGGTTTTGGCATGGGAAGAAATCCGAATAGTTAGAGAGGAATAACAAGATAGGGTACTAGTTACTCAGTAGGATAAACTGAAATGCTGGAGAATGCTTAATTGCGGGTGTGTACTCACCCCTCCCTGTCCTTTCTAGAGCATCCAATGCAGTAATAAGCTCAGTTAAGTTTATGTCAGGATATCTATGAACAGTAATGCAGTCTTAAAACAAATGTGGAAGCTGACCCTTTATACAGGTGGGGGAAAATAGGGACAGCAAGTTTCATTCTAAACCAACAATTTGTTTACCGTTGTTCCCAAACAATTTTGGTCACATTTATGGACATTCTTGAGCAAACAAACATTAGTTGAACACATTACCTTCAGAATGCAATGTATCTTTATGCATTCAAGTGTTGCCAATGAAGAGCCAGAATATAAATAATTCTGAAAGGCTTTACTCCCCCTCCCGCCCAGGCAATTTGTAACCCACAACTGAATTTTATAAGCCTCCACTGAAGTAAACAGATTATGGAGCACAGCTACAATCACCTTCATACAAATTCTCTAGTTTATTATTCCAGACAGCAAGTGTGAACACAATGTGCTGAGAATTAAATTTGCATTTTAACAAGGTTAATAAGTGTATACTTGAAATGAATACCTACTAATTACTTTTTGTTAGCTCATCCATCAAACTGTCTGCCAATCAAAAACATTTTTTAAAATACAAGTATTACATTTAGGGTAATTTTATTTACAAAGACATGCAGTAAGATCCTAGATAAAAGTTAAGGAAGCAAGAGATCTGTGTCTGCAAACTTGCTTCAGTTTAAAGTGTTGTTTTTCGAGGACAACTTCTGAACCTTCAATTTATATTTGAACACCTGATAGTTCCTTAATATTTACAAACTGTTGTATATAAGATTGATCTCTTTCTCATGGTTAGAAAGTTTGCTGTGAACTAAGACATAGTTGATTCCATTTTTTTAAAACTAGCTGTTAAAGAAAGGCACATTTTTTAAGAATATCCCATATCATTGTGTGAAGCTATATTTATAATAAAGTTTTATATTATTTTTATTAGTATTCAAGACGGAGAGAACAGATTACTGTTTTGAATTTTACAGCCCCGTCATAAGCAAAATTAGTTGCTCAAACATTTATTGGACTGGGTAGTTAGCTTGAAAACAGTAACAATTTACAGAGCTTATTGACTCATCACCCTTTTAATTATTTTACTTTGCTGCACAGAACTTTTATGCTGCCTGTGGACACATATCTCTCAGTTCTGTCATTAATTTTGATCCATCAAATAACAAAGTAAGCTGGAAAATGTGCACAAGAGTAGGACAGAAGCATGTGTCCTCTTTGCTGTTCTCTTCACAATGGAAATAAACAACCATGAACTCTTCAAGTACAGATTCCCATGTCATTGAAACTATACTCAGAACAAGCCTGGGTATAAAATCAACTTTCAATTATGGCTTAATGTCCTGTCTTATCCTGAAATTTCCCAGTTCAGATGGAATATAGAAGTTAGATGGAAGACAACCTGATTTGTTCATTTGCATAAATAAAATAAAACTCAGGTGAGCATGTACCATTACCATTTTCTATGAGTTTGTTTAAATCAGACTTATTTTTTTTTATAGTATAAACTGTTCACTCCTGATAAAACAAACTGCTATGCATAGCTAGCCAGACAACCAGTGCTTCATATATATATTATATTTTGAATTACCTTTTTTAAAAAATAAAGTTTGATTTTATCTCTTGCAAGATTAATTTATCTCTTAAAAGGTGAAAAAAGGGCTGAAAACATTATTCATTTGTTTTTATGCTAAAAGGCTAAGAGGATGCATTATAGAAATTGTTTCATTTTTTCCATTTTTACTATTTATTGTCTGAAGGACAGTATAAGTTGTACTGATCACTTGGGGGAGCCCCTATGTCTCTCATAGACTAGGATTAAGGGGAGAACCCTGGGTGAGGCACACCCTGGAAGATAGATCGTAGCAACTGTTATTTATTTATTGGACATTACATACACAAGTATAAACAATAACATGAAAAAGAATAAAAGAATATAATATAGAGGAATAAACCAGGAATTTAAAAATGTCATGGAAGTTATAGCTTTCAAATATATCATTAATTAGTTGTAAATAATTAAATGAGAACCAGTTTGGTGCATGAGATAAAGACACGAGGCTAGAACCTGAGAGACCATGAGTTCTAGTCCCACCTTAGGCATGAAGCTAGCTGGCGGGTGACTCTGTGCCAATCCCTCTCTCTGAGCCCTAGGAAGAAGGCACTTCCAAAAATGTTGCCAAGAAAACTGCAGGGACCTGTCCAGATAGCCACCAGTAATCAAGACTGATTTGCACACATACACAAAAATAGTTAAATATTTTATATACAGATAATCGTCATTTAGTGACCGTTTACAATTATGATGATGAAAAAGTAACTTTATGACCAACCCTTGCATTTGCGACCTTCACTAGTCTATAGAGCAAAGCACAGGAAAGCTGAAGTAAGGTCATAAGCAGAGTCCCGGTTTCACTTAGTGACCATTTTGTTTAACAACCAAGTTGCTGGTCCCAATTGTGGTTGCTAAACAAGGACCACCTGTATATGTCACATTAAAAAACTAAAAGTCACTGTTAAATTTAAGCTAAAAGTCAATATAAAGAATCATAGTCAACACAATATAAATCACTAAATGTAATTAGCTATAATAAATTCAGTCCACACTACTAAGAACCTGTTCTGATTTAGGTATCTCATAACATTGAAATATACATTCTATGGATAAACCCAGAAGACCTTGTCTTTGGAAGTTCGTTTTGTTTATATGTGACTAGCAAAGTGTATTTCCAAGTTAAATTTTCTTCCCAGCTTTTAACATATTGATTGGTCATGTTTAATTTGCCTTTTCTTCTATGCATTTCCATTTCCTTGTGGGTCAATTTCCCTCTTGACATGGAATTCCTTTTATCAAAACTGGAAAAGGAAATATTTTTTTCTGATTTCCTGCAGATCAGGACATTCTTTCTTTCATTGGACATGGAAAGATTAGAGCTGTGGAGGACATCAGTGGCCTGGAGATTCTCCATTTCCTGCCTTTTCTGATATGCTATGGAAGGTCAGACACAATTTAAGCACATGATATTGCAGGCTAGAACCTTGCAAAAACCTGGGAGAAAAGTTTAAAATCAGATCATCAGAGAAAACATCTTCTTCCCAGTAAAAGACCATTTGGAATTGCTTTGAGGGTGAAAAAAACAAACAAACCCGAATTAAACAAATATATAAACGGCTCTGAGGGGACTTGTACGCACGAAACAATAACGCGTGCAAGTCTGAGAGCCGCCCCTCCCAGCCAAAGCTACAAGGTGCCCCTTTCCAACAGCACAAGGTCAAATCCACGTGCTCCCGGCCGTTGGTTGCTCCTCGTGCAACCGAAACACAAGGGGAAAGGGCAATTCCATCTCTCCTTTTAGCCAGCCAACAGGAAAAGACTCCGCAGCAGCAACTGCAGCCTCTCCACTCTCATCCACGGACGGGAGCCATCTACTGCCTCTTCGTGAAGCATCGCCCCCTCCCTTCCGAGTTCTCCGGCGCCTTAAGAGAAATGAGCCCTGTGGGGACACGTACGAAGTCCCGCGCCGCGCGGAATAAAGCTGTGAAGGTCAAATCGCCGGTCGCTCGGCAACGCGATTCCTGTTACCTGAGGGGAGTAAGCAGCAGAAGCGCCGGCCCCAACCAGCCTCTGCGTGAAGCCGCTAAATTTGTAATACATGACGGGGCCTCGGGACGGCTCCCCCAAACCACATGCGCGCTCCCTCTTCTCCAGCTTTACAAGTAGGAAGGCATCCGGCTGCGACGCCTACGTAAAAAAGACCTACTTGCGACTGGTTCCTTCTTGGACCTCTGTCCCAAAAGAGGGCCCAGACGAGTGCCTGAAATGTTTCACTCAAAGGAAAATGAAATGAAACTACAGACATTAGCAAAGTGTCTGAAGTGAATTGCAGATTGTACGGTTATGGATCGTCTTGAAATTAGCGGGGTCAGAGGAAAAATGGCATTTTAATCAGGTAATACTTTAGACAGCCTGAAAAATAAAAAAAAAGTATTGCGCCTGCGTAGTTCGTGGTCTCTACTTCCGGAGCGGTAGTAATTGAAGTTGTACGCTGCCGACCTGGGGAAACGTTGCGCGTTTTCCCGTCGCTAGTCCAGGTTGGCCCAGCTAGGTGGCAGTACGTAGCTGACCTTGGCCGAAAAGCTGTGCCGGGTCAATGCTATGATGGGAGAGGAAATCCCAAGGCTGTATGTTAGTCGGAGAGGTCAGAAAAACAACCTGGGAGAAAGCAGGGGCAAACCATTCCATACTGGTCCCAAAAAAATCTCAAGGACATGCCCGTGAGGTCACCAGGAGTTGAGAGTTCGACTTGAAGCAGAATGAAACTAAGAATTGCCCAAAGAAAAGAAAAAGCAAAACATTTAGCTTTTTTACTTTTACTCATGTGCAAAAGTAAAAAAAGGTGGGCATCCATAGTCTTTCTAATCCTTCTCTTTGGAAATGGAGGTACGTGGGTGGGTATAATTTCCCCTCCCTAAATTTAAACATATTCTAAACATTATCTTCTAATGCTAGTGCAGTTTGTTGTCACCATTATTACATACCCATCTGAAGAGCATCCGACTGGCAAAGGAAGGTTGCAGTGTAGTTTAGTTTTTATTTTAGTCATTTATCCATTTGTGGGCTGCCTCAATAGCTAAAGTAACCCTAGCTATCAAAGCGCTAATTTTGAGAGACGGATTTGCTATTTTTTTCAAGGAAAGTACAGATTTAGGTAAAGGTAAAGACAGCTCAACTCCTGGTGACTTCTTTGACACATCCAGGTAGTTTTTTGGCAATAGTTCAAAAGTGGTTTGTCATTATCTTTTACTGTATTTTTTTCAACTTTTCAGACTTGCTTCCAGCTTTGGAAATTCCTGCTGGTTTTCCATCCAGGAGTTAGGTAGCTCCAATCCAAAGTTGACTATAGATCTATACTAATTCATTGTATTGTTTTTACATGGTTAAATGTAAACCATTTGTGAGGGATTGTGCAGTGAGTGTGAAAATGTTTTAAATTAATAGATTTAAACAATAACATCAAGAAGATTAAAAGTTAATTATGCTATAGTGGAAGCTATAGCTCTCCTTCCCCCCAGATTTGGTCAACTTCAGTCAATAGGTAGTATGTGTTGTCAGAGTAACAGCCAACATACCAAACATCCCTTGAGTTTCATCAGGTCTTTGGGGAAAGTGGGCAGGACTGGGGTAAGAGCTTTCTATAGGCAGCTGTCATATCTTAGAGACTCCAATAAAACCAGCATACAAAGTCAGATCAAAATTTTGATGCTGTGTGAAACTTTCTAATCTATGCTTAGCACACAAACTCTGGAAGGAAACACTAACTTTGAAGTCAATTAGTTGATATCAGGAAGGAGCACTGTGTGTAATATACTTGCCTGAAAACCTTTTGAACAATATTTGACACTGTTGCATACTGAAGAATATACCCAAAGTGTGAGGAAGAGCAGGATACAAAGCAATCACATGTGAATGGTATGACAAATACCATAAATTATAAATATTCATTTCTTATAGGCTCATTCTCTATCACTAGCCCTTCAATAATTATTTGTGAAAATAGGGGCTATTCATTTTATGAAAAGGTGAATATTTTGATTGATCTGGACCCTTCCAGATTTGCTGGAATAAGCTATTATTTCCAGTCCACATGGTCATAGCCCTGTTGTCAGCCAAGGTGGCTGGAAATTACAGGAATTTTAGTCCAGATGGAAGGCATCTATTTGGGAAAGGCCAGATGTAAGTGTTAAGAAATAACAGCACCTTATATTTTTCTTTTAGAACTTGAGACTTTAAAGGAAAATCCTAATGTCAGAAAACGACAGACACGGGTTCGGTTGTCCAGTAGACAGAAGTTTTTATT